GCCTTCCGGAACGGAAGCGGTCTGCGCATGCGCTTCCCATCGCTTGGAGGGGGAGCTACCCGGAAGGGAATTTCTGCGCCTGCGCAACGGGCGCTGAGGGCAAGGAAGGGCCGGGCGGAACTTCCGTCGGAAGCGTGTGCCGTGCCTCTTCCCCAGGTCGATGTCGTTGGCTGAGTCCCCCTCCTTTCCGCGTTCGGCCCCGGAGGCGAAGGTCAAACGTAAGCCCCGGAAGCGGGAGCCGGGCACGGAGGCAGCAGCTTCACCCTCCGTCCGTTCCTCGCGCCTGTGGGCCTCCCCTGGAAACACCGCCGGGCCGGACGGGGGTGGCCGGCTTTCCCCCTTCCTGCAAGGGCCGGTCCCCGCGCAGGAGCAGAGCCCGCGGCGCCCCCTCCAGCAACCGGGAGGAAAGAGTCCACCAAAGGAAGGGGGCCCCGAGTCCACCCCTCGCCCTTCCGCTTCGCTGCGAACCGAAAGGGCAAAGCTTTGCTCGGAGCAAAACCGAGCCGAGCGGGAAAGGAAGTGCTTGCGGAAGTCAGAGCAGTTTCGCAACAAGGAAAAATACGGGTGACAAACGTAACAGTAACAAACACTCAGTAACAAAACGGATGTCATGTAACCACCAGAAGACACCGAAGTCTTCGGTCCTGCACCAGGATATATTTTGGGCAGTCCTCCTTTCTCATCAGAGGGGGAAGGATAATAAAAGCTATACTCCAGCAGTTAGGTAACACATTGGTCAGGATACTAATCTGCAAATCTCCGCAGCTCTGGAAAAACAACAACAAACAATGCAGGGAATCCCCACATTAAGGTGTCCCACCATTCAGAATCAAAGGAGCAACTGGAAGGGATGGGAGAAGTCCATTAGAACTAAATCTCTGAACAAGATGGAAGATGGACACACAGGCCTCCCTGGCCCTGCAGTCTGCTCACAACATGGCCAGAGATATCCAGAGATTTACTGATGCAGATACTGGGTGTGGGAGCAAGCAGTCATCACGGCAACATTGTACCGTTTTCCTTGTGCAACTTCAGAAGTTTAGAGACCAAGTGTCATATTGGCTGTCTGTTAGCTAAGGCCTCCGTGATCAGATTGTCTCCTTGCAGATTATGATTACATTCTGAGAAAAAACCTAAGTCTTCTGTGTGTGAACACTCTGTTGCCATGTTTTGTGACTATGGAGAATAGTAGTGGCCTAAGTCTATGAGTGATGATGGTGAAACATGTTTCAGAACAGGCACAGTGTGCCCTGCCGGAATGAGCCAGTCTCAGGTTCCTTTATTCTCTTGAGTTGTGGGTTCCTCTTTGTTGCTTCAGGTTGTCTGCTGCCGGGTAAACACATTGTCCTATTGATGTTCTGGGAAATCCTGGCATTGAGAAAGGACCTGGTGTTAAAGGACATTTTCCCAAAGGACGTGATTCATGTGCGTGATGCAAGCAAGTACAAAACATTGTGTTTGTCTACCATGTTTCTCCGAAAATAAGAGAGGGTCTTATATTAATTTTTGCTCCAAAAAAAGCATTAGGGCTTATTTTCAGGGGTTGTTCTATTTTTTCATTTACAACAATCTATATTTATTCAGATAGTCATGTCATCTTCTGGTTGCTGCACAATGGTGGAAGGCGGGGTTTCATTTAACTAGGGCTTATTTTGGGGGTAGGGCTTATATTATGAGCATCCTGAAAAATCATACTAGGGCTTATTTTCAGGTTAGGTCTTATTTTGGGGGAAACAGGGTATATCCGTCAAAATAGTAAAGAGACAGAGGGGAGTAGCCCCACCATGAGGCTGGCTAAGGCTGTTGGGAATTTTGGTAAAATATCATCTGCAGAGGTGCAGTTCTCCCTCGCCCCCCCTCCACCCCAGGCTTGATAAATCAAAGCCAGTTTTTTAGGCTCATAGGAAGCTGCCTTCTCCTGATTCAGATCCTTCATCCCTCTAGCATAGTAGTAGTGGCAGCTCTGACCAGCAGCAGTTGTGGCTGCTTTCCAGGAATTCTTAGGTCTACCAGTAGATCTCTGGGGGTTCCCTGTTGATCTCACCAAAATATTAATGAAGCCCATTAGTATTTTCATCTGCCAAAAGCAAAGAAAGTTAAGTGTGTTCAGGAGGTTGGTGTGCTAAAGAAAAGATGTTTAGCCAGGTCCTCCAATGAGTTATCTCATTTCTAAAGCAAAGGTTTGGGGCCTTTTTTGCTTTAAAAAAAGATTTTTTTTATTAATACAAAATGAACCTACTACTACACAAAAAAACCCTATATAAAATACAAAACAATACAATAAAATACAATTACCCATGTGCACCCGTCACCTTCAGGACTAGCATTACACTTCGTTCCATTCATTTTCACTCCAAAATTTCATTGTTTCTTCCCTCGGTGTAAACCCCCTCCCTCTCCAAAATACATGTTCCAGAAATACATTCCATATTTTCTTAAAATCATTATTTTTCATTTGGCCTCTACTTATTTTGATGAACGCTTCATGAATTTGCGTGTCATCCTTGTGCAGGGGCCATGCTAATCTCTGTATCATTCCAATTTTAGTATATGTGCTGCTGAAGCGAGCACAGGTTTGGGGCCTTCACCTGAGTCACTGATCTGGCCTTTGACATGAACCTTGCCAGCAAAATGTCTCTTTCAAAAGAGAAGAGGAGCAATGGATGTTTTCAACAACAGGTTGGGAAGGAAGATAAGAGGTGGTTTGACAAGCACATTAATTTCTGTATTAGGAGGGGGAAGCCCCCAAGACCTCTCACAGCCACCCCTGTCTTCTGCTGAGGCATTCCTTTCAGCCACTCAGAGTGGTCTATTAGATCAGATGGGCAGGATACAAATCAAATAAATAAATAAATAAATTTGACATAAGAGCAGAAAACCCACATTTTGAATCATAATAAAAAATAGTATAACAGTACTGAGAATTCTGGGAAGCTGCTTTCTGCCCCTATCACTGGTTATAAAGCTACTGCAAGATCATGAGCCAGGCCACCCACCTTATTTCTTTTAGGCAGTGCCATCTTTTCTGACTGACATAGCTGCCTCTCAGGGAAAGGGGCAGAAAGTTGTATTCAATGTGGGGCTGCACACACACAAAATTTCCCCCACCCCCATCCCCGCTCTTCCTGACTTACTGGGGCACCTCCTGCCTTTCCTGCACCTACCTGAACTACCGGGACAGTTAGGCATGGCAGCCTGCACAGATCATAGAGGTGCATGTGGGGTGGGGGGACTTTGGAAGACTTGGTCTGAAATGGCATATCTCATACAACTGTCCTATAGAGACATGCTTCTGTAGCAGCCAGCCCTCCCTGGGGTGGCCACTCCTCCTAAGACTTGTCTGGCAGCCTCATAAATAGCTGCGTGAGGCCTCAGACAGCTCAGTCCAAGCCCACCAGGTCCAAACAATGTGTGATTCTCAGATGGAGGAGCTGCCATCTAGGACTGGTATGGTAGCACAGGGGAGCCCCCACGCTCGCCGCTTGTCTCTCTTTGGGCTTTGCTCTTGTATCACCCCATTAGCCAAGCAAGGCAAATGTCTTCTGTGGTTGCCTTGCTGTAGCTGACTTTTGTTAATTGTCTGTGGCAATGGTGGGGCAGAGTGGTTGGGGGAAATCGTCTTGGCAGCAGGAGGTGCAGACCAGAACTGAGGTAAGATCGAAGGAGAAAGAGGCCAGCTGTTGATCCGAGATCTCCAAATTGCTCTTCTAGAAGAGCATCAGATGCTGCAGCTTCTGTGTAGAGGTGTCTTTTTGCTGACTTTCAGGGACCAATGCTTTTTGTATGTCTGTGTTTGTTGCTGCAGACATAGCACTGATTCTGTTCTTTATGCCCCTGGGACTCTGTGCTGCTGTTTCCTTCCCCTTTTTGTGTGCAGCAAAAGGAATTTGGGTCATCCTTTTAAGGAAGTGAAGTTCCAGCATCCAGCGTTGCAACATGAATTGCAACATAAAACACTGTTGCTGGAAATTTTGAGGCCTTCTATCACAGAGACCTCACTGACTATGTTCTCTGCCAAGAACGTAGATACCCACCCACTGGTTGGTGAGGGACTTATAAAGCGTCGGCCCTGCTGGTCCAACAGAGCTGCCCAGTTTATAGACACAATGATATCCCAGCAGTCTCCAGGGAGTAACATTGTCCTCTTTGTCCTTGCCGTTTGCTGTTCAGGTGGGGAGAAGGCTGGCGCTCAGGCAGCCGTCTTCCGGTCACGGTAAGTGTCCTGCATTCTTCCTGCAACCTAGAAGGATGGAGGCTGGGCTATGTATCTGGTGAAAGAACCATGGAGAAGAGCTGCAGCGATGCAGAAATCCGTGTGCCCCAATGCACTTACTGGGACTCCGCAGAACTATTCCAGCCTTGAGGAAATGAACCCTAAAAAGCACACCCTGTGCAGTGGGCACACAACAGTGCCCACTGTTGGTGTGTTGCCCACAGTAGGATGGCCAGAAACACCCTGATAGGAGGCTGCCTTTTAATTGCCAGTCTTGGGGCTCCTCCATCTGGAAGGATCTTTCCCATTAGAGGGTACCACGGTAGGGATAGGCAGAGCTTGGGGGTTGGCAGGGGAGATTATGGGGGTTATTCCTGCCTAGTGTGGTTTTATAGTGCTAAATCCTTGTGTGTGACCCAAGGCCATCTGTGAGACAACCAATGCCAATCAGTCTACTAGGCAACACCTGGGTCTGATGGAGCATTGGGTGCTAGTAAGGCCACTCCAGGTAGCGCTGTGGAGCCCTGGCAGGGAGGTGACTGGAGAGAGGGCAAGAGAGAAGCAGAGCATTCTTTTCCATAAGCCTGGCTTTCATGTTTCAGAATCTGGGATGTGAGCCAGAAGTCCCTTTACCTGCAGAACAATGAGCTTGTGGCTGGGTACCTGCAAGGCCCCAATTCTGCCCTGGAAGGTGAGTCTCCCTTTTCCCGAGTCTGGTGGCCCCAGGAGGCTGCCTCTTGTCTAGCTCATGGGTGGGTGCCGCGGGTAGGTCTTCCTCTGGCAGGTCTCCTCGGAAAACCTCTGAGGAGCGTGGAGGTTTGTTTGCATTTGCTAAGCTCCGCTCCTCCTGACTGAGTCTTCTGCTGGCCACTGAATGTGCCTGGGGAGGCACAGCAGACACCAGTCTCTCCCACCAGATTTCTCTCCAGCCCTGGAACTTGTTGTCTCCTTGTTACCTGGGGAGGGCCCAGTCTCTCCTCCTCCTCCTCCTTCATACTTTCATCAGCACACCGGGCTTCTCTGTGCTTCAGGCCTCCCCCCGCACTCCACCTTGCCTGCCTCTGCTGAAGACATCATCCTTGTTGTGGCCTCCTCTGGCTGGATCCTGCGTCAGGGCCCTACTGTCTGTCATGGGAGCAGGAAACGAGAAGCTGTGGCCAAGAGCCCACATGGAATCTCCTCGCCCCGTCTGTCTGCCCTGGAGCTGCTGGCTTTCTCCTAGGCTCCCCCTCTGGAGACAGTGGGCCAAGGGGCTACTGGCCCCTTTCTTTCTCTGCTTGCCCCCTTCCTCCTGACTCTGGTCCTCAGATCCTCCCTCAAGGAGTCTGGGCGACAGCGCCCCAAATTCCACAGCGGGGTTAATGGCCAGGCTGCTTTGAGGGATTTTGGAGCTTTGGTCGCCTAGTTGGCTTGTCCTCCGGTCTGTCCTGCACCCAGATGGGGGAGACGATTCATTGGGATATCCTCCCAAGCCCTTGAAGCCTGGCAGTTCCCTGGTGGGCTGGGAACCTGCCCTCATTCTGTCAGCCACAGAATCCAGGGCTACTGAAGGGACACAGGGTGGGTGCCCTGTCAGCTCAAGGGAGAAAAGGCAAGAACGAAAAAAAATGTAACTCAATAAACAGATACTCCTGGGGAGTCTTCAGGATGTTGACAGCCTCTTTCTGCCTTCCTTCCCCACCCCCCAGAGAAGATTTATTGGGTTCACAACCATGCTTTTGGCCGTGAGAAATTCCCCGTCATCCTGAGCATCCAGGATGGGAAGCGATGCCTGACCTGCTCCTCTTCCTCCGTGGGTCCTTCACCCCATCTGCAGTTGGAGGTGAGAGAGCTCCCGTCGTGTGGCCGGGGGAGGGGCGGCAGCGCAGGACAGCCAACCCTAAGCCACACATGGAGCACCCTCAGAGAACTCTGTGTGTGTGTGTGTTTTTAAAGTGTTCGTGTGTGTGTGTGTAAGAGAGAGACAGAGAGAGAGAGAAACCCTGCATATCCATGGGGAGAATCAGCTCCCCTGACTTCCACCCTCTCCTGAGGGGACCCAACCTTTGAAGCCTCCAACGAGGTGGGGTGGGGGTCAGGTGTGTAAGAGAGAGACAGAGAGAGAGAGAAACCCTGCATATCCATGGGGAGAATCAGCTCCCCTGACTTCCACCCTCTCCTGAGGGGACCCAACCTTTGAAGCCTCCAACGAGGTGGGGTGGGGGTCAGGCTGGGGAGGA